TTTGTCTCTCTGGTATATATGGGAGATAACACTATTTAAAGATTTTATGAAATATAAGTGAGTGGAATGCAAGTAAAGTACTTGTGAGCATGGTTAGCCCACAGAACTCAGAATAGTATATCTATAAATACTCACATATGCAGAGATCATAAATTGGATTTCTCTCTGGAGAAAGCCCTTAGGCTATTACTTTTTATAACATTTGGACAAAGAAAATAGAAAAGAAACAGCACATTTTATTTTGAGCAATTTGGTCATCCTGACTACACTGAGAATGAATTTCATTATATGCAGGGACCCCTTCCTTTCAAAGATCACTGAGGCATAGCTATTGATGATTAATAGTAAATGTTCCAAATAATAATTGGAATTAAAATGAGTAGAAACTACAGTTTAAACTTGGATATGGAGAGGTTGGCTGTCAACAAAGCTCCTGCAATCTGAGGTCCAATTTCTCTGCTAATTAAGTTCCTTGGGAAAAATAAAATAACCTTTCATTTTTAATCTGATTAGAATAATAGGCCTTTTGTTGTGAACAATACAGGTGGTGATGTCACACTTATAAATTCAGTTTTGTGATGCAGTTTTCACAAAAGCGTTTTGATCTTCCATTTAGAGCAGTTAAAAATATGTGACTTCTCTGCCTGAATGAGTCTGTAGGCTTGTGTTTGAATTTGTGATTGAATATTTCTAATAATGGTGTCCTTGAGACCTGTGTCCCCAAACTTCATTTCAGGGAAGGGTTTAATAAAATGTAAAGACAAAACTCAAAACCCAAATCAAAACCATATGCTCTTATAGTTAACACACATCACATCCCATTTGTTGGTTGGAAGGCAAATGTGAGTATGAAAATACATTCTTTGGGACATTAACTGTGCAGGAGAACCCAAAGGGACCCACTCAAGAAGGAAGTGTTTCGGGAAGCACTGTTGCTACCTGACAGCTAACTGATTTTAATTTAAGAATCAGACTGCATCTGCATAGTAATTTTCCAGCACAGAGGCTTTGTTTGCATTGCTTTTCATGAATATTTGAAAGGCTAGAAAGAAAAGAATTAAAGAATTATTTGCCAGTTTTTGTGTGGACAGGAAGATAAAACACTAAGATTAAATGATGTGGGGAAGATAGTTGTCTTGTTCTAGAAAGAACATAGAGTAACACACCCCCTTCTTTTTTTTACAATGAGAAATTATAATATAAAGTCACCTATCAGTATAAAAAAAATGATATGGACCTATAAGAATTTGGGGACATAAATACTATTTTATATTGGTGCAGAACATACAAAGTGAGAGAGGTAGGACAGGAAGGTACAAAAGTCACAAAAGTGGTTCTTTGATAACGTGTTTGGTATTGTGATAGCTAGATCCGATCCCCTTGGGGATTTCCTGAGAGCAGTGACCACTGCCCCTAACCTACAGAATTCCTCTAGCCAGACACTCCACTTTCCACATCATCAGAAGTCATTGCAATGTCTAAGGGTGAGCTGAACCTGGCATGCTGGAAGATAGGAGAACATGCTTCATTGAGTAACTGGAGTGTCAGTTATGGGTGTTAGGACAGAACAAATTCCCAAGAAGATGTATTAACATTGAAACAGACTACTTAACAAGAATAAAATTTCATCCACAGGACTTACTTCTTACTCTCAGCATCCATCCCTATGCATATGACTGTCTCTAGCAGTGAAGCCTCTGCTGCTTTCCACTTCTTGTTGCCTCATCTTCAGCATGACTGACTATCCATGACACTTCAAAGGCCAGACTCCTGTTCCTTTGGTCACCCTCAGATTCATTCAGTGATTCTTTCACACCTAATATGTGCATCATACTGTTTGAAATGCATTTTAAACAAGCAATAAAATAGTAGAAATATTCTAATATCAGAAAACTTATCAAAAACTATGGGTTGGAGAGATGAGGGAGTAGTTAAGAGCACTTGCTACTCTTTCAGAGGATCATGGTTTGATTCCCAGGACCTACTTGGTGGCTCACAACTACCTGTAATTCCAGTTCTAGAGGATATGATGCTCACATCTGGACTCTACAGACACTACACACTCATAGAGTACATACATACATGCAGGCACAATAATCATATGCATAAAAGAAGCATAGATCCATCTTTCTTTAAATGTAGGAGAAACAAACAAAAGAACAAATAATTGAAGACAAAGTAGACTTAATCACTAGCAGTTGTTTGGGAGAAAATAAAGTTCATAAAAAGAGTGTTGTCAGGAGATGGGGAAATGTCACTTCACACACAGGATTATGAAATCTCTGTATACGATGCATTTGCAGAGGCTGTAGTGAGGGAGTAAAACCATGCAGACAGCACACAGAAGGCATTCCAGATGGGACACTTGACACCCCTGTCACCATTAGGCCTTTGGCCAGTGTTGTTACTGAGCCCAGAAGCAACAGAAAATTTTCATAAGGGAAATGTCATGAACCTGCTTACAGTTTCAAGAGAGGATTACACCACTTGATGGGGACTTCAGACTGAAATGGAAGGAACAGAAGCTAGAAAAGCATTGAGGGGACAATTTAACACTCTAGGTTGATATCTAGGTATAAAATGTAGAGGGTATGGTGTGATCCAAGTGGTTGTTTACATGTGTGTACACTAAGAATACTCTATCAAAGTGTGTGAATACAGACATTTTTGTTGACTGTATGTACACGTTTGTATGTTTAATGTGTAATGTATATACATTGATTTATACTATATATTTAATAATTTGATAATTATTTCATACTGATTCCTTAAGAACGATTCGTATTGTTCTCCACTGCAACAAAATGTTTTAAAATCCCTAAATTCAGATTTTACTCCTGATGGAAAGTATGAGGTGTCACTGCTTATATTAGTATTTATTATGAGTAAATGCTATAGCCATATGACTATCTTTTAAGTTCCAACAAGGTTCATTTTTTTTTCTTTATAATAGCATTTTTGTGGATGGTATGGCTCCACAGTTGATATTCTTAATGGGAATAACCACAAAGTCGATATCGGGGCATAGTGGCCACATTAATGACTGTGACAGTTGTCTCAGTTATTGTCGGGCCAGTGACCTACAGACCAGTGGACTTAAATGTAGTCCCATAAAACTTTATATGGCGCTAAACTTTGAATTATGAAAATTTTCATCTCTAATACAGACTAAGTTGTGTGTATTCTTTCTTTTTAAATTTCTTTTCAACCAATTACTAATATAAAAGCCATTCTCAATGCACACTTTGTGTAAAAACAAGAGGACATCTGGGTGATGGTGGCGCACACCTTTAGTCCCAGTAAGCAGGAGGCAGAGGTAGGCAGATCTCTGTGAGTTTGAGGCTAGCCTGGTCTAGAGAGTGAGTTCCAGGACAGGCACCAAAACTACACAGAGAAACCTTATCTCAAAAGAAAACAAAAACCAAGAGGACACAAGTTGGTTGTGGCCCACACACTATGGTTTGCAGACTCCTGGCATTAAAGGATTAAGGGCTTAGACCTTTCTTTCATCTGTGTTTCATTGATTTACTCTGACTTTAGTTTTAAACATCTTCATTGCCTTGTCTTCTCTTCCTTTTGTGAAACTGAAGTGCATCTTCAGGGAACTCATCCCTGTATACTCAAGATTACGCATCCAGAAAAGATGGGAACAACACCCCTGCCTCTTTCATAGCATTCATCTGTTCAAGGTCAAATCAAACCTCTCGGACTTCTCCTGGTGCTCTTGAAACTCCACCCAAATACTCTTGTCTAACGTCTGCTCTTCTGTTAGCAACTAATTATTTACAGTGAAATGAACACATGCTAAACAAAAGAATGTTGCCTGCCTATAGAATGTGTTAAGAAACAATGAAGTATAAATTTGGGATGTGGGCATCCTGGGTTTGTTTGATTGCTTTTCTTTGCTGAAATATAACCTAGTCAGTTACCATACTGCGTGGTTTGATGATCAGATAATCTTTATTTCCCATGATGATCAGTGCTTAATTAGCATGTTCAACTACACGCAGAATCATTTCCTTAGTACTTAATTTCTATAAACTGTACTACGTAGATGTGGGTATTGAAAAAAAAAGCATTACATTAAAAGATTTTAAAATTATAAAATTAAGGGAGATATTAAATCAACACATTAAGTCTGCTTTTATCTCAGAATGGAACCTAACAAAGCTAACTGGAAAATAAGTTATTAAATTAAAATAGTTTTTCATTTCTTCCCAAATGACTTTGTTCAAACTATTCTTTCCTGCAAGTATCCCAATTACATTCTAACTGTGTTTTCTATAAGATTCTGTTATATTATGCTTTTCAATTTGATAGAGGGAAGAGCCATCTAAAATGTTAAGGAAACATAGATAATGCAAAAAATAAGCAGCATCATGTTTTTATAGATGAAAATATATATAACATTTACTTCTAAATCCCTAACTCTGTTGATATTAAAAATTATTTAAGGGTTAGAGATATATCTTATTGGTTAAGAGCACATACCACTCTTATAGAGTCCCACAGTTCTGCTCCCCAACATCCAAATCAAGAGAGAGCCACCAACTGCCTATAACTCTGCCTCTAGGATTTCCTACATACTCTTCTTGCCCTATAGATACTCTCATTCAGAGGCACTCTCCTCCACATTTTCCCATACCCACACAAAAACATATTTTTTAGAATAAAAATGAAACATTTGAAAATATTATATTTATTCCTATCAAACTGAAACTGTATAACTTTCAGGCACATGAATTCCCTGAATGACTACAAACAAATGTTAATATGTAGATATTCCAAAATGACAAGGAATTCACTTCAAATGAATTACCCAAATAAGGGAGATAATAGTTAAATTTCTGTAAACACCCTGTTTTGTATAAATTTATCCAAACATCAAATTAAATTCTATAAAGGTAATATAATTGTGGGTCTTCAATGAAATCACTGTACTGTAATGTTTAAAAACTATGTTTAACCAACTTTGGAAACTTTCCTTTTCTACCTCCCAGGCTCTGGGCTGAATGATGGGCAGTGGCATGAGGTTCGCTTTCTGGCCAAGGAAAACTTCGCAGTTCTTACCATTGATGGAGACGAAGCATCAGCAGTTCGGACCAATAGTCCTCTTCAAGTGAAGACTGGCGAGAAGTACTTCTTTGGAGGTAGGAAAGCCATGCTTTAGGTTAGCCGATACTTTACTTTAAAAAAGAAAAGGGTTTCAAAGAGTGTATAAAGTACTTGTATTTAATCCAAAGAACCTGGTAAATTTTAGGATAAAGAAAAAGCAAGGTGTTATTCCATTGAATTAAAAGGTTAAAGAAATTGCTGCTTCACAAAAATGCTATTAATGTGGTGACATCCTACCTACCCTTTGATTCAAATCTTCAAAGCATAAAGCATGAGAGTCTGTGTAATTTACATAATACTCTCTTCTAGAATCAGTGACTTCAACTACAGATTGGTCACTCAATATATAGAAAATTCTCCTAAACCTTAGTCAATACTCAAGTTTGTGTTTATATGAATATATATTCCTATCTTGTATGTGCGCTTTATTTTCCTGAAGTTGTTAGAGTGATTCCATCTAAGAGCACCTACCTTGTCTGTCAAGTTCCCTGCCCTATCCCCTAGTCCTAAAGAACTTCCCAGAATATAACAGACAGCAAATAAATATTTATAAATGAATTAGTAAACTCTATAAAATAGAAAAGATAAGCAGTTTATTTTAAATGGTGTGGAAGAAGAAACACATGTTCTGGCAGTGACTGACACCTAAATATAAGAACTCATGCTCCTAGGTGGGGATTTTCTGCCACTGTGGAGGGATAACTTTGAGAAGTTCTGAGTTTGTCCTGAGTCACTAATCCGTGATAGTTTGGGGGTGTTTGTAGTACATTTTAAAGGTTCTCACTGAATATTTGGTGAGTCAATGAAAGTGGGACAAAATGTCTTCTCAGTGAAGGAATGGAGTTGATTGACACAAACAAAAGCCACTCATTCAAATACTAGTCTCCCTCCAAGTGTGTGTTGAACATAATCAGCTTTGGGCCAAGAGTTCCCATGGTTGTCATAGTACATGGATTGCATTTGTCAGCGGAAAAGCTTTTGACAGTCTCCACTAATCTCCTATCTGGAAGGCTGTTTGCCATGGATGAGGTCACCAAAGGCCTAGAGTAGCTCCTATCCATCTCAGTCCAGTGGATAGACAAACTGCTGGAGCCTTACATTTGTGATATAGATTACAGGATGTGGTGTGCTGTACTTTATTGCTTTATAGATTTGAGTTTTCAAAACCCTGTCAGGAGGATATTGACTTCCTCTTGAGTCTTTGTTCTGCCTTTAAGATACGCCGCTATATAGAATCACGATTTTTGTTTTGTTTTGTTTTTAAATCATGTCCTCATCAACTGAGTCCTCCAAGTGAGTAAAAAACATATCGCAACTCCAAATCTCAGGCCTAACTGCTAGAGCGTTAAGATACCGGGTGAGATACTGAGACACTGCACAAATATAAGCTTCAAGAGATTCTAAGACATATGTTGTCAAGAACAGGATGCAGGTGAACCTGAATTAATGCCCACCCTGCCCCACTGAGATTCCTCTGAAAGACAACAGCTACCAGAAGTAGGAGGGAAGGAAGGATAAAGAATGATGGCATTTCCAGTCTATGAAAGCCCTAAGCAAAGGCTTGCAATAAGTGAAGCTCCTGGCTGTGTTGCATCATCTTGACTGTTTCCAGTAGGATGTGCTCCCATAGTTCTGTGCCTGCTCACTGGCAATTCTAGGACAGGTCAAGCTTCTGATGATGCACTTCCTTCACCTTGTTCTTGTGTGAGAATACACAAATCACAAAACAAGCAATCTTTGGGGATATTTCTTCAGCAAAGGAGGTCAGAGATGGTTTAGCTGTTATCTCTACCTCTTGACTGAAATTCCTTAACACTTCATTAATTTTAATAATTGAGATAATAATAAAAGAAGCAATTATATTTATTTATCAACCAATTACTGGATAACAGGCTTTTTAGATAGCAGCCAGGGCCCATGGTTATATGTGTACAGCTTTAAATTTCTAACATTACTTAGGCCATTATTTTTAATATCCTCTCTGTTTACATTGGAAAGGAAACAGCTGTGGTAAGAAAGTTCTTGTCGGCTTGTATGGAAAAGGGGAAGTCTAAAGAGCATAGGCTGAGCATGCAGCTCACAAGAAGGTACCAGATGTGAGAGGCAATGGTACAGGAGAGCTTTCTGAGTTTCATAGTACTGGTACTAATGAGGTTTAATAGAGGGAGTGTCCATCCATTTTTAGTTTCTAATCTAGACACACCAGTATCCATGTCTAGCCATTGTCACCTACAATACCAAGGCCACATCGAGTGATTGGCTTAACCAGCCACATCTCTTTCGCCAAGTTTTCTCTCTGAAGGCAAGAAATGCAAAATCAATGTGCTGTTGATATAGTCTGTTGAGGACTATCTTCCTAACTTTCAGACAGCCCTTTTCTTATTGTGTCTTCACATTCACATTATATAGGATGGAGGAAGGATTAGGAGGATGTTGAGAGAATAAAAGAATCTCCTCCATATCTGTTCTTATGAGGAAGCTAATCTCATCCTGAGGATTCTACCCTCATGGTCTAACTACTCCCCAGAGACCCTCAACCTCAGTTTTATACCATGATGGGGATGGTGATAAGATTTCCATATATAAATTCTGAGAAGGGTACACAGGTAGTCTGTTACACTAGTCTTTCAGCCCTCACTTAAGTAGACCAAAAGTTAAGTAGCTAACTAGATAGATATGCAAATATGTACAAATATGAAGTATTTCCCTATTGGATTTATTTAGGAGTATTGTCCCAGGACTTGTGGTCCTTACCTATGAAATAATGCCAGCCTTCCTCTGTACAACTGAGTCTCTGAAAATTCCTTACGGAGCCTACATGCACTATAAATTTGTCATGTAAAGCTTCTAGATGGAGTCCTAGAAATCGCTGGGTTAACTGGGCTGTTATACAATTTTTGAGTAACTTGGAAGCACCTGGCTTAGGATCATATTTTTTTAGGTCTCTGAAGTTCGTTTTCTAACTTCGTTTTGTTTCACTCCAAGAATCACACGAGTCAGAAGTATTTTACCAAATGATATTTTTCTGGGATCTGAAAATGGAAGTCTGGGGAAAGGAGTTTGTGGTGTGTATTAGACTCATAGGGCTGCTGTAACAAGTTTCCCCAAACTCAGTGAGATTTATTCTCAGGTTTGGATACAGGAAATTTAGAGCCAGGTAATGAGGTGTCAGAAGATCTGTGTTCTCTTTGAAGGATGTAGGCAAGGAGTCTTTGACTTCTATAGCTAGTGAGAGTTTTTAGCAATCCTTGGTACTCCTTCTGTGATAGACCTTCATGTCTGCATCTATCTTCAAATCTTCTGAGTGTCTGTGTCTGTTTCCTCCTGATTAGGACACGAGGTGCAGATTTAGAGCCCACCCTAGCCACTCTTACCTCATCATCCTCTGGATACCTCCATGACAACATTATTTCCAAATTAGACTACATGCCCAAATCCAGCTTAGAATATTAGCATACCTTTTAGAACAACACAAACAGCTCATTCATAATAAGCTATAAGTTAGCTGTGTAAGTCCCTCTGTATTTGTTACATTCCTCAGTGCTGTCACTTAATACATGACCAGACAAAATTGAACACAAGGAAGTTTCATTCTTATTCACAATCTGAGGACATTCCTAACAGGGAAGTCATAGGGCCAGCTAATGCTATAGAGGCTGAAGTATATGGCAGCTGCTTGCTCATATCTCATTGGTCGAGGAAGCAGAGAGAAGACAGTAATAGCAATCTTAAGGACTATTCATTAGAATTCTACTTGCTCCAGCAAGGCCTCCTCTCCCAAATGTTCATCAGCATCCCAAAACAGTACCACTAGCTGTGGTCCAAGCATTCAAATATATGAACTTATAGGGGGCATTTTACATTCAAATCATGACACTCTCTAGTTGCCATATTTCCTAAAGCAGACTCCCAACTTCTGATTTTCTACTATGTGTTTTCAAAGATGGATCTTATAGGAGTTAAACATCAATCACAAACTTAAGAAACTATAGCTAAAGGGGAGAGTCAAACAAACACCATCAGGGAAAACTAGAGCCTAGGGCCCACGGGGTGAAATGATTGTTGTTGGCTAAATTTACAAATGGAACTTTGTGACCTCTAAATAGTGCCAAATATAGATGTATGAGGAAATCAATAGAAAGTGTTTCTGAGAGAAGCCAAACTGGTGTATCAGAGTGTCCAAACTCATTACTCTTAAATGTTAGAAGTCTCTGTGTAAAACCAAACATGTAAAAGGAAAACAGTAGGGAAAGGCATCATTGAAATGAAAGAATCTACAGGTGTAAGGAAGCAACATTAACTGGGTGAGAAGAGAACAGCAAGTAGTGTGTATCTGAGATTGAGTCAGCAAACAACTGGAGCCAAGCCAAGCTGTGGGACAAGGGGTGGAAATCTGCCTCCGTGGCTTTGTAAGTTTTCTAAAGCAGAATTTAAAATTTGACTTTGAATTTTGCTGCAGTAAGAAGCTAGTATAGTAAAAGAAATGAATGTATTAGAGACCTTTATCATGAATAAATATAGTAATGAGAACAAACCACACTGACAAAGGAATGCCCCTTAAAATCTGCCTTACCCTTCTTTATTAGCACCTTTCCCAAATAAATACATTGTCATGCTTAGCTTTTGTTGTCCACTGGACACAAGCTGGAATCACTTGGGAAGGGTGTAAATGAGAAATTCTCCACACTGGGTTGGCCTGTGGTCATTTCTGTGGGTTACTGCCTTAACTAAATTCACTGATGTGGGAAGATGGAGCCCACTGTGAACAGCACCATTCCCTATGCAAAGAGTATAAGAGAACTTACTTATAACTGAGTTTTTAAGGGTGCATAAGAATTGTGTAGGAGCAGAGAAATCAAGCTTGAATTCAAGCAAGAAAGCATGTATCCACTATTTCTCTCTGACATTTGTGGGGCGTTTCCCCACCAATCCCACAGTTTGCTGGAGTTTTCTTGAGTGCGAGGAGCAGGAAATATTAGATAGAAACATTTAGATTGTGGAGATAAACAGACAGAAAATAAAGGACAGCCTCGAG